ATATATATATATTACAAAATACAGATAAGTAAACTATAATTCAAACTATTTGTGAGATTTAATGTATTAGTTATTCTAATTTGTTTTTACTGGTTTTCCAATTCTGACTATGTAGGAAACCATTCTATATATTTGTGGCATAGAGCTGGTAATTTAAAAAAATGAATGGCCTTAAATTGTGTGATTATCTATAATCTGGGTCTGGTATTGTGGTATCATATATACAGTAAATTCATTAAAGGGTTCTCAATCTTAAAATAAATCGGACAAATTTGCTATTATTTACAAATATTTTTTAAGCGGAGGGGTATTTAAGTTAGTTTACTAAATTAGCATTATTTGTATTTGTGGTTTTTCCCTTTTTTGTGTATTTCATTTTTTTTTGTGTAGTGTTGGTTTACATTTTTAAGTAATTTTGTTATTTTCTATTTTTCTTTCTGTGAAAAATACTTATTGAGGCTGCTGAAGGGTCTTTTTTGGCAAAAGGTACTGGGTGGTTGAATGGAGATTCTATAAACTTCTTGATCCTTTCAGGGCAATACTACCAAAAACTACCAAAAAAAGTCTCCCTCATTTTATTTTTGACTCCAATGCATTTCACCACAATAGCAAGATTTTGTCAAAATCTCCTGATTTGATGCACTATGAAGGTTATTCACGGAAGAGACGAGTGATCCAGCCGTAGCTTCAGCTGATCCTTCGGCTCGCTGAGCTGTAGTGACACCCAAAGCGTGGAGAAAGGTTGGCCAGAGGGCCGACTGTTCTCCCTGCAAATGACAGCTGGGCGGAGCGAGCCATAGTCTCACGGCTCATTCCGCCCAGTTGTAATGACAGATCAGCGTTCCCAAATTACCTGGGGATGCTGATCAGTCATTAAACAACAACAACTGGGCGGAGCCGGCCATGATGTCATGTCCGTCTCTGCCCAGTTGTTGTTTTTTTTGCCCGGGACCGGCAGGAAGACTCTGGCAGGTGCCGGGCAATAGCAAACAGTTGGGCGAGCCAGCGGCGATGTCTAGCGGTATTTGCCAGCACCTGTCAGATTCTACAGTATGCGTCGGGAGTTTTTCTCGTGCGGTCGGGTCGGTGTGCATCATTTTTTGAAATTATTTTTTATTTAAGTATTGTTTGGACGCTGGATGTCATGATTGACACCAGGATTAGGTCGGTAGATCTATTTTTTGTTTTTTTTAAAATAAAAGACGTGTCAAGAACTTGTCTTTTGCTTTTTTTTCAATTAAATATTTTTTTCTAAACTCTGGCATCTTTTTTAAATTTTTAATTTAACCCTTTAGTGAATGGGTAGGGGTATATGTACCCCTTACTCATTCACAAGGGGGGGCGCATCTGGATGCCCCTTTATTAAAGGAGTACCCTGATGTGAATAAGCCCCCCTGCCTGCACCCCCACAACCAACCCCACTCAGGGCTTGAGAAAAGGCCCTTGTCCCCATCGGCACGGGAACAAGGTGCTTTTCCAATGGCGACCATGGAAAATCACCCTCTCTGTGCTGAGGGCATTTGGCCTGCTATGGGAGGGTGGGTGCTCGCTCATCCGCCCCTTTTCCTGCCCTGCCAGGCCTGTGCTTGGATCAGGGGTCTGGTTGGGAATTTCAGGGGCACCCAAGTATTTTTCCCCCTGTTTTTGGGGTGGGGTTCCTCCTTAAAATTCCTACTAGGCCTTAAGGGTCTGGTATGACTTTATGGGGAAACCCCCACACATTTTTTTAATGTTTTACTTGGTGTCCCTCCTAAAATTCCTACTAGACCTAAAGGTTCTGGTATGGTTTGGGAGGGGGACCCCACACTGTTTTTTGTTTTTTCTTTAAACTTTTTTTATTTTCTTAACTTTTTAACATTTACTAATATTTTTAACATTTATTTAAATCATTTTTAAACATTTTTCATTAGTTTTCGTTTTTTTCCATTCTGCTCGCTACCTCGGCGGCATTCGGCTATTCACTCACTGCCATTTGTCCCCTATGAGAATAGGGGCGAACGGCAGTGAGTGAGCTCCTGGAGCTACGGCTCAGCTGATCCAGAGGTTGGATCGGCTGTGTCGGACTCCTTTTGCACTTCGGCTCAGCCGAAGCGCTTTCGGGGGCCACGCAGGATCCCCTTCATCAGGCTCAGCAATAGACGCAGGATCACTTGTATTTAAACAGCAATCACAGCAGCAGCCATGTTCTTGGTATAACCATTTCCAGTGGAGGGCGTACATTTGCGTGAACCCGCTGGAAGTGGTTAAAAATACTTAAAACACATATTTCTCTGTACAGCATATCCTAAATACAATTATCTTGTTTTATATTGAACCGTTCTTTTTTATAGCAGATGCATTGTGAGCATTTTACAAAGATAATACATCACCTTGTAAACTCTAATCCATATTATTGACCTAATGCTCAACATAACAGCAACACAAAAACAATATCACTACAGCTAGAACACTGTTGTACAATTATTGATAGGATAAAGTGATTTATCCATTGGTTTAAACTCTGAAAGCATGTGGACCAAGGCCAACATATGCCTGTTATTATCACCCAGAGGTAGTCAAATGATTGAGGAAAAGGAAATAGGAAGACTTTCTGGAGATAATGGTTTAAACAACAGTGTTAGGTACTTTTAGCAACGTTTAACTTTTGACAAGTTTCTCTATCAATCAAAAACACTAAAAAAAAACTGTAAAGATGTATTGGATGCATTGTACAAAAACAAAATTGATAATTTACATGAATATTCATAAATTAAGGATAGTTTAATGATTATGATGACAATATTTGGATGAATGCTTTATTATACAGAAGATAACATAGGTTAGTGGCAGTGCTAAGACCCTGGTGCTTTGGGCAGACAACATATACAGTATAGGTTGTAGTCACAGAACGTTATCTCAATTAACATTGAGATACACTATATTACCAAAAGTATTGGGACACCCCTCCAAATCATTGGATTCAGGTGTTCCATGAAATTTCCTTGCTACTAAATATTCCACGGTCAACTGTTAGTGGTATTATAACAAAGTGGAAGCAACTGAGAACAACAGCAAATCAGCCACGAAGTGGTAAGCCACGTAAAATGACAGAGCAGGGTCAGCGCTTGCTGAAGCGCACAGTGCACAGAAGTTGCCAACTGTCTGCAGAGTCAATAGCTACAGACCTCCAAACTTCCTGTGGCCTTCATGGAATGGGTTTCCATGGCAGAGCAGCTGCAACCAAGCCAAGTGCAATGCAAAGCGTCGGATGCAGAGGTGTAAAACACGCCGCCACTGGTCTCTATAGAAGTGGAGATGTGTTTTCTAAGGTGAACAGTACTTGCCTGACTGCATTGTGCCAAGTGTAAAGTTTGGTGAATGGGGGAATTATGGTGTGGGGTTGTTTTTCAGGGGTTGGGCTTGGCCCCTTAGTTCCAGTGGAGGGAACTCTTAAGTCATCTGCATACCAAGACATTTTGGACAATTTCATGCTTCCAACTTTGTGGGCACAGTTTGGGGACGGCCCCTTCCTGTTCCAACATGACTGTGCACCAGTGCACAAAGCAAGGTCCATAAAGACATGGATGATCAAGTTTGGGGTGGAGGAACATGACTGGCCTGCACAGAGTCCTGATCTCAACCCGATAGAAGACCTTTGGGATAAATTAGAGCAGAGACTGCAAGCAAGGCCTTCTCGTCCAACATCAGTACCTGACCTCACAAAAGTTGAAGCTGTTATAGGTGCAAAGGGTGGGCCAACTCAATACTGAACCCTACGGACTAAGACTGGGATGCCATTAAAGTTCATGTGTATGTAAAGGCAGGCATCCAAATACTTTTGGTAATATAGTGTATATGTACTACTTCTTACCATGACTTCTTCACAAAAGGCAGTTAAGTGGGCATAAATACTTAGCATTCCTTATAACCTTGTTTGTCCATTGCATTATATTAAAAATTCAGGGTAATAATACACCACAAACTGAATTATGTGTTTTCCTGGATGCCATCTGCCCAATACACAGTAACTGCAGCAAAGCTGCATAGCAGCACCAGACTAAAAGAAATCTTGCTTCCTGAACAGCTCACCTCCTTTGAGAGTCACGGGACTGTTCATCATTGATGAGGAAGCTTATGGCTTCTGCCATTAAATTACCAGATCACATGGCACCTCATTGTTAGCAGCTAGGTCTTTCTCCACACCACCTTTTTAGACCTGCAAGTATTTTGGTACATTGAGTACAAATGACAACTCTCTGCTGTCCATTCACCCAGCTGAACCTACAGCCAGTAAAAGTGCTGGGTAGGGCTAATGACTCTACCATTGATATTCTGCTGTCAAGCATTGTTGGGCATAAGTCAGTGGTTCTAGCACATAAAATGTGGATGATGGTGGTGGTGGAGAAAAAAATTATGCTGTGTAATATAATTTGTTGAAGCTGAGTGATAGTCTACTGCTGGTTGATACCTATCTATTAGGTGACATGCCACACTGGGTGACTTAATGGGGTTGATTTACTAACCTTATAAACACGCCACGAACAAGTATACACCTCTGTAGTGTGTTCCCTCCCAGCATGATCTATTGGTGGAATCTAGACACCTTTGTAGTGTGTACACACCCAGCAGGTGTGTTGTGCAAAGCCCTGCAAAGCCCTGCATGAATTGCAAGGTGATGTTGTGTAAATTAGCTCTACGCTTGCGTTGATGAATGCAGGAATGTAAATGCATGAGCTAACCATTTTTGTCTAAACTGTGAAGCAGCATTATATATGCATCATGTGCATGATTTTCCCATATATGGCATTAGTGGAAATATGCTTTTAGAGACTTGCATGCCGCTATTAGAGCGGCGTGTAGCCTATGGTGCATGCTACATGACACGCACGTACGTAAATACATAAAAATACGCCATAACAGCGTGAAAATGTGACACGTTGCTCGTGTTTGGTTGATAAATACGTTTTGCTGTGTAAAAATGCACACGCAACTGGTGCGTGTGTGTGTTTAGGTTAGTAAATCACCCCCAATATGTCTCTGCTCAGTGACATAACATGCCCTCAGTGGGAGTTGTAACATAATGCATATGTACTACTGGATTACATAGTATGCTGTTGTTGAGTGATTTACAATGGCCCATATAGCAAAATAATATACAATAATTGTGAGGGTTATTCACAAAGCTGCCAAAGTCAGCCGAGTGAATAACCCAGCTGAAGTGAAGTGATCCGAATGCACTTCGGCTATTCACTTCAATCTTGTACGGCTGATTTCAGCCGTACACCGGCTAAAATCAGCCGTACATCGGCTGCCTTCACCATCGGCGTTGTCCATCGGCTGCCTGCTCGGTACCTCCGAGGTACCGAGCAGAATATAAAAAAGCAGAAAAAATATAAAAAAGTAGGAAAATTAAAAAATAAATACAAATATTTTAAAGAAAAGAAAAAAACCCAAAAATAATTTTAAAAAGCTGCATGTCGACCCAACCGCATGCGATGGACTCCCACTGCATAATGAAGCATCTGACAGATGCCAGCAAAAGAAAAAACTATTTGGCTGAGCTAGCGGTGACAGCTAGCTCTGCCCAACTGTTTCCTATTGGCCGGCACCTGCCACAGTCTTCTATCAAGTCCCGACCCTTGAATAACAGCTGGGCGCAGCCGGCCGTGACGTCACTGCTGGCCCCACCCGGTTTTTATTGTTTAATGGTAGATCAGCGTCAGGTAATTTGGGGATGCTGATCTGTCATTACTACTGGGCCGAGCGAGCCATGAGATCACGGCTGGCTCCAACCAGTTGTCATTTGCGTGGCGAAGGGTCGGCCCTTCGGCCGACCTTTCTCCATGCTTCGGCTATCACTTTGGCTAAGTCGAGCCAAAAGCATATGCCTTCAGCTCGGCTGAGCCGCTCGGCTGCATTGGGCTGCAGTACGGGCTATTGTGAATAGCCTGTACAGCAGCCCATCGGTTCGACTGAACCGAAGGGCAGAGGCAGCCGAAGCGAGCCGAAGGATCAGCCAAAGCTGGATCCTTTGGCTCTTTGGAGAATAACCCCCTGTATGATGTCATATGCTGCTGCTCATCGGCAGTCTAAGGCTACAATCTACATACAGGACTTTCTAATATTTCTTCCATGGCAAGGATGTCCACTTTTTTAAGTGGCCAGTATAGTATACTGACAGAAATGGAAGTTTATCCCTTAGGCCTTTTTTTTAGTCACTTCCAGCTTACAACAATGCAGGAGTTGAAAACAGCACTCAACAAAATATGACCCTTCATTGATTAATTTTATCACTTTTTATTTTTAAAAAGGAGGTAAGTGAGAGGTAGATATTCTGCAACATGTACATTATTAGAATTTTTGTCTTGTATATGTTTTGCAGTATAATGTAAAGTTTGCCTACTTGCTGTTTGAAAAATATTTGTTTGAAAAATATTGCTACTTACCGAATGGAATAGAGAACATTTCCATCTTTAAAGATTCTTAGGAGCTTATTATCTGTTGTAACTTCATGAAAGTTAGCGCCTTTTTCATTTGCAAAGAATAAATCAGGCTTCCATATAGAATCCAGCATAGAAGGATCTAAATCTAAAGAGTCATCTGGATATTCGCTGTATGCAAGACGTGGGTCATTCCACTTCTGTCGCAGGAAGATATTCAAGCGGTAGTCCTGTAAAATAAAAGAAACGGATATATGTATAATATACTTTAACCTCTAGTTTTAAGAAAAAGAGAAGATATGGAGCAGAATGGACATAACAGTTAAAAAAACATCATACCAACTCCATTATGTAATTAAAGCCAGCAATGGATAGCAGTCCAGTCTCTGAACCCAGTTGTTAAGATTTAGGACCCATTCAAACTTCTCTGATCCTGTGCGTTGCAATAAGGCACACACATTAACATGTATGTTGTCACATCTTATCATGCATTGCATTTAGGTAGCCCATTAGTAACGCACAGGAACAGACCAAAAAAAGAATTTTGTCCAACGATGTGTACCACAATGCATAGTAGTGTGCATTGTGGTGCACTGCCATGCATTTGCATCTGAACTGTATTACCTTAGTGCACTGTGATTCCATTAAAAATGCACCACAAAACACCCGATCACAAAGATGTGTATCAGCCCTAAGGAGAAGAGGAACTATGGCTCTTTGGCAAGGGTTAGATGATTTTTTAAAAACCTTTTTAGCTCTTGTACCTGTATAACCCAAAAGGACCAGAGCATTTTTACATAACAACTACCTGTTCTGGTACAAACCATGGGGAAGTTATTTGTAAATTAATTAAAGGCTTTTAAAAAAAAAAAACACAGGAAAAAAATTAAATATTAATAGTAAAAATAAATACAAATGAAAATCAGCAAAGAGACAATAGCAAAGAGAAGGGGAGCAGGGGAGGTAGAAGTTAATTAGGGCTGAAATACTCAATACAAAGAAATAATACATTGTTACCTTGTATTTACTCAATGACACTTGCAGACTATCTGCAAGTGTCATTTTACACAGGAGTGGTCACATTTTGACAGTCATTGCTGCTGTGTAATACAAAACAAAACAAAACAAATCTCATCTGTCATTTTGAGAGATGGTATCTACTAATAATAACGATACTGGTTGGTCAGCACCAGTGCTGGGGATAGCATGCTTGTATATCGTGCTTATACTAGCTAGGTAGCAGTGCAATCAACTTACATCCTAGCTTACATGCAAGGTATCACATTGTTATATCAGTTTACTAATGCTTTATTAGTAAACCTTTATTAATTATTGTTTTATTTCAATTTTGAAGATTGAAGAGTATAAACAAATTATTAAACCTTACTCTCTGCCCCTTTTGTGTTTTCCAACCTTTAAAATAAATTAGATGTTAAAAAAAAACATGCAGATTCAAGCTGAGACTGATCTAAGATCGCTTCTTAAAACCAGAAAATTATAAAACAAATGCATTTTTGCAGTTTGCCACAATTTTTTTATCTTGTTTAAAATAAATTGCATTTCAAAAGTTATGTAACTCACAATGAAAGCAGCTTTAATTTCCAAAAATAATTTCTTATCACACTGGCTTGTAAAGTAAATCAATAAAATACATCAGAAAGTGGACATTTGACTAAAATCACATCAGCATACAACAATAAATAGCTAAATAAACATATTTTTATTACAATTTCTTTGTTTCCATTTCCTGGTCCACTTTGGCACAAATTATGTAAGTGCCCAACCATTACATCCTGGGAAGGTTACATCAGCAGTGCATTGCTGGGAAATCTCATCTGTAATCTCACAAGATCTCAGAAAAAGGCATTTTCTCTCCCCTGAGATCATGTGCATGGTCACATGCCTTAGTCACATGTGCCTGAGTTCTGGGAAGTAAAGGGAGATTTAGTATCCTGCCTTTAGTTTAATAGCCATTGGGAGAAGAATGGGGAGGAAACACAATAAGGTATGCAAACAATACAAAGCCTGCACTTATCTAGAAGTATCTGTTTGTAGATTGTCATTGCTGAACATTTCTAAAGTTGCCTTTGTTGTTATTTTTCAGATATGGGTAAAGTTCCTCTTTAGGGTTCTAACAAAAAGGAAAACTGAGAGTAGGTATACATATATGAATAAGGGATACAAAAACTAATCATACAAGGCTGAATTATTAAAGTGGAAGAAAAATATTTGTAAAACAAATTGCTGACAGGAAGATTTGTCATAGCAAAAGAGACTCTTTTGCCGAGGATTCTGTTACCTACCTGTCAGCAATTTTATTTTCTGTGCACTGAGCTGTGCATGCAGAGCTCAGTGCACAGACCCAGTATGCCAGGATAATGTACCTCCTCTTCACATGCGTGGAGTTACATCATTGGGGTCCAGCTAATAAAGAGGCCAAAGATGTCTAACCTGGAAGAAGACCCGGTGAAGATAGCAGCATGGGCGATGGAGGGGAGAGCAGACAGTGCAGCACTGGAGGGAATCGTTTCTAAGGTAAGTCAGCTGTGATATGCAACAATGCTGTGCATATTAGCACATTATGGCAAACACTACTGCAACAGCTTTTTTAATACCCTGCTTTACTTCCACTTTAAGATTAAGTCCAATTTGAGGGCACATGCGTATGGCTGGTGATGGCGGGTGGTTTGTGAGACGGCTCTGCTGCTCCTTCAGACAAACTCAACATTAGCTCGAGGCTGAGTGCCTCTCAACTACCGAGCACGTAACCTCCACCCTCGGTGGACACTGATTATGCCGCATTCCGGATCTCGGGGCACCCACACTGAAGCCCTAGCCCCGGCCACGGCCAAGATTACGCCTCCAACTACCTCACACATGTCTTCCATCCAGGCCGCTTCTGCCTCAAGCAGTGACATGGATGACGCTGGGTTAGCAGATTCTCATCCACAAAAGCGATCCCATTCTGCTCTTCTGCAACAGTTTGATGCTATGTTGCAGAAGGCGCTGCAATCAGCCTCTAAGCAGATAACCAATAGATTGCTGGAAGAGATACGGGATATCAGCCACCGTACTGCAGCCCTCAAGGACAAGTATGAGGATCTATCTAGCGATTTCACTGACTTCAATAAGGAACTGGATTCCCTCTGCGATGAGAACAAAACCCTGCTCTCTAAACTCGAAGACCTGGAGAACGGTCCCGTCGCTCGAATCTTCAGATTCGAGGCCTTCCAGAACACGTTACCGACTTCTTCTCCACCACCCTCATGCTTTTCCAGGAGCTGGCTCCCAAAATCCCACCAGAAAAATTCGAAATTGATCGCGTTCATAGAATGCTTACCCGCAGGAAGGTGGATGGCTCGCCTTGTGACATACTTGTGAAGCAGCACTTCTTCCACACGAAGGAATAGTTGCTTGCGATTGTGAGAACCAAGGCCTCCCAGGCTCTGTTGATTTTTCAAGGCAACGAATACCAGCTCTTTACCGACCTGGCCCCTTCTACCATCTCCAAACGTAAAACGAAGAGGCCTTGTCTGGATATGCTTATTAAATGTCACATCCCATACAAATGAGGACATCCATTCCGTCTCCTCTTCTCACACGAAGGTAGGTAGCACTCTTGTGGCACCCTGGAAGAAGCTCAATCCAAATTTACCGGTCTGGGCATCAGGGATCCTCACCCTGCATTGCACCCTTCTCCTAACCTGCCAACCTCTACCTCCAAACGATCCCGCAGCGACTCTGACCACAAGCATTCCGGGGATTTCCACGGCCCTGTGGTCAAGATGGTTGCCCGATCAGGCTGTCTGGATTGACAGTGCTGTCACCTGCCTCAGGTACTTCTATTTGTCTACTGTTGCCATTTTTGGAATGTTTTCCACACCTTAGCTTGGAACAGTTTACTCTAAACTTTTTACTGGACTTTCTCCTTTAGTATCCTAATGGCCTCTAAGATGTAATTTTTCCTCTGCCTCATTTTCCTGGATGCTAGATGTCCCTTGCTCAGGAACGTCTACCTAACCCCTCTAGAAATATGGATCCCATGCCCCTACCGAGATCCTAACGGGTATTTCATCTGCGACCACCTGTAATGGATCCTGGGGACGCCGGCGTTCCGAGTCACGGAACCGAGCAGAAGCTCCGCCCCCGGGCCGACGATGTCAGGCGAGACCGCCCCCGGCCTCGTCATAAGCCGCGACCACACAACTGTCTGGCGTTCCAGCAACCCCATTTGGACGCCCGACGAGTGCCGGCCTCCTTGCTTGCAGTTCCAATCACCACGAACCTTTCGCAGCAGCATCCACCCGAGAGCTGACCCCCAGCTGACAACCCCCCTTGGGCTCTCTGCGCTAGCGTGGCCAGGATTACTCCTACCCAAACATCAGGACGCCTAACCGCAAGTATTCCCCTCTGGGTTGATACCCACAGGGGATTTAACTGTCTGCTGTAGCTTGTCTGGGATTCGTATGTACTGTTGCATTGAAGATATGGGGAGCCTGCCCTCTGCTGGTGACTAAAGATTTTGCCTTCTATACTGAGACTATACTGATTCTGTGGAACACTTGTTACATACCTGCTTTAATGAACTGTGATACTACGTGCTTAACATATGTGAGGTGAACATATAAAGTTACACAAACAACAGGTTCATTGCTATATAACTGATTGGGACACCAACATATTGGGGTTATGTGAATAGAACATAACTACCACAGAAGTGCATTGCTGTGTGAAGTAACATTGGTGAAGCCTATCACTTCCTCTCTTGTTCCTAGAGACCACTCCTTATTGCCGCAATTCCTTAATACTAATTACTTTAGGTGTAGCAAGCTTAGTTAGGTTGGAAGATAGACTGATGATGCACTGAGCTTGCTTGGCAATATTAAACCTTGCCATCACGTACTCCTGGGCTAGAGCACGTGACTGTTAACGTGTCTCCGCAGCTGAGCTCCATCTTCCTATTAAATAGATTATTACACCACCTACCCCTGTCTTGTTCTGCCACAGTACTATTCAGCTTTGTTTTTGCTCCACTAGACCCTTCTCATGACTATCTGGACTGGACACTGGACTGTGCTCTCCTCATTGTGCCCACCACCCTTCTTCCATAAATCTGCTGGATGATTCCTATGCTCTCTTCTTCAACGCTCTTTTGCCCCTTCTCCAAAATATGTGCACGGACCCCATTCCTTAATCATTATTCATTTTGACCCCTTCTCTCTCAAGTGTA